GCTTAATCCTGATAAATCCTCCACTGCAGTGAGGCCGATAGACACGTCACTCCTTGCATGCAAATGCAGCCACTGCTGAGGTCACACACACACACACACACACACACACACACACACACACACACACACACACACACACACACACACACACACACACACAACACACACACACACACACACACCACACACACACACACACACACACACACACACCACACACACACACACACACCACACACACACCACACACACACACACACACACACACACACACACACACACACACACACACACACAACACACACACACACACACACACACACACACACACACACACACACACACACACCTACAACACACACACACACACACACACACACACACACACACACACACACACACACTTCTCCTCTCTCTCAAAGATGGTGAGATTTGTTCAGATGACTTGCAGAGCTGCAGTTAAACGACATATACTGAGCAACACTGTTTGCTTCTCTTCTTGTCTTTGAGATTGAGCCTTTGTGTTTACTGCCATGACAACCAGTGAGAGTCAGTGGGAAGACAAAGCAGTGCTGTAACAACTGCTATTTAACAAGATGGAAATACAAGGCTGTGTAACCGGTGAAGTTTAGTGACTTACATGCTGAGGCTCATCTTCTGCAGACATGGCGTTATTCACACACAGAGCCTCCAGAAACTTCTGCTTGAGGATGATGTAACGGAACCTGCAGACATGACAGTTGACATTGAGTTGATGCTGTTTGTGTCTATCTTTGCTTCTGTAGTCCATCAGATCCATCAGAATCAACAAAGGATACATCAACATACTGAAAGGGACTCACACAGTGAACGCACCTTTTTTTGTCAAACTTATCCATGCCCTCCAAAGGCTGAATGAACTGCAAGACCTCATCCCACTGGCCGTCAAGCACCAGTTGCCTGGAAATAAAAAAAACAGTTTATTTGTAATAAACAGGAAATAAATGAAATTAGGTCCTTGTATTAGTGTGTCCCACAAAATTGTAACTTAAATGATTTAAATAATTTAAAATTGAAGAGCAATGCATTTTTTGATTCTCTGACACCCTGATAGCTCTGGTATTTTCCTAATAAAAGGATCCATGACAAGGTGAGACACACTATTAATCAATACTTCACACTAGAAGGTGAAAAACTAAGATGTATTTAATACTCAAAGATGAGTAGAGTTTCAGGCAACACACTGTTGGCTGACTTTCAGGAGAGCACTCACGACCACAGCAGCTGAGCATTGTTACATTATCCTAATGTAGAGGGCACTATCAGATACACTAAACTTTATGACTGGAACAATTGCCTGTTGTTTCTGCTTCATAGTAGGCAGCTTTTTTGGAGTTCATGTATCCAGACGGCTTGGTGTAGATGTTGATGTTGAGTTCTTCTACCTGAGGAAGAGCATGTCATCTGAGTAGAGCCCGTTGATGACGCCGCTCTCCTTCTCCAGAGCCAGCATGCTGATGTGTAACTTCCTGGAGTGGAGAAAGTCCAGGATCGCCTTGATGATCTCCACCTCCTTCACATTTATGGTTTCCTCCGCTGTCATGGTGACGACTACCAATGACAAGGGCAATCAAGCGAAATACTCGTAAGGTAAAACCACACACACAGCAAAAGAAAACCCGAACACAACAGTTTGTACAGTACATTTGAACATGTCTTAAAGTAACGCATACATGTATGACACAGTTCAATGCTTTACAGTTAACATCAGTTTGATTCCTCTTAAGTTATTATGCCGCATCTAGACAAACATCAATATAAGAAAATATCCTTATTGATACTGTGCTAATGATTTTAGCCATATTGAAGACAGCATCTAAAATGCAGGTGTTTTAGTGGAGTTGTTCAATGGCAACCAGATGATTAGACTGGAAAGCTACTAAATAATTATAAATATGTGTTTATGTGTAAATACACAATAAATATGTGTGGATTCGAACTGCATGCATCGGATATTTAAAGTGCCTCGCTTTGCATGTTACATTTCATCTAAGATTAAATAAACTCAATGTATGAACCTAATATGCAAAGTCACAAATCTGACATTACCTCTCAGAAGAGTTTAACAACCTGACAGGAGTCTGTTTTGATTTTCTACACAAACACATGTATGCATATTAACTCTATCTTTAGGCCACCAAGTAAATTAGTGTTGTCCAGATGGACTGAAGCCTCTGCTTAGAGGATATGTTAATGTTCTTCAGTATTTGATTTGACAACTTATGACAGCATCATACAACTTTATAATACAGTACAACATATGTTATTAAGAGTCCAGCTTTTCTGTTATCAGATAATCATGTCATAATGAGAACAGTCTGCCATATATTAGTCACATTCATCCTGATATTCCGCCCATAAGATGTTACAAAGTCAACAGATGTTGGTGAAACAAGACAGAAACAGCTGTATGTAACTGAGCTTAACTCCTCCACATGTTGTGTTTACAGGAGATAATTATCTTATCATATTTTTTCAAGACAGGAAGTATCCTCTAATTCATCTATATAAAACAAATAAAACATCAACACTTAAAAGAAAGCCATTTTGCCTAGCTTACAAGTAATCAAAGAGCAAAACACTGCAGTGCTGCTAAGCTAGCATGAGGGATGGTTAGCTAATAACACTGGGGCTCTAAGCCTCAAGTCAAACATTATAAGAAGCTTAGGCTACTTGTTAGCGCTACATAACCTCTGAGTTAACCCACCGGATTATAGCGAAACCACAAACAGCTAGTTACCGTCAGAGCTCACATAAAGCAGGCTAATTTAGCTGGTAGTTAGAGGGGAGCAGAGGAGCTAGGCAGGCCGAGGAGAGAGAGGCATCCTCGGCTAGTTAGCAGGGCGGTGCGCACTGACAGCCGAGAACAACACAACCCGCTGCGCTTAATGCTCACCTGTTTCTAACAATGCATGGGATGGAAAAACAGTGCCCGGGGTGTTTCCGTGATGTTGACAGACGCTGTCACCGAGAGTACCGCTCGGTATTTTTACTGCTGTCTGTGTTGCCCGGCTGTCCCTCCTCCTTGTCTGGCGGTGTCTCCTCTCTGCTGGGTCTCTCTCTCTCTCTGCCCAGCCCTGCTGCTGCTGCTGCCGTCTGCAGAACACCGCCTCCCACAGCCTGCCTGACACACTCTCTCCCCTCGGGATACAACATGATAGAAACTAATTCAATACATAACCAGTGGTGTAAAGTAACTTAGTACATTTACATCAAGCACTGTAATTTGTAGTACCATTTTGTAGGTACTTGTTCTTTACATGAATATGTCAATGTTGTGCTAGTTCTTACTTCTATCACACTACAATTCAGAAGTAAATAGTGTACTCCACTACATTTATTTAGTAGCTTTAGTTACTTGGCAAATTTGGATTAATCATGTGAAATGTAAACAACACTTAAATAAGATTTTAGTTACACAATTAGTAGCTACCCTGCACCATACAAAGTCATTAAAACTGAACTTAACATGCTCCACCTTCACCACACTTTAATGCATCAATAATACATTATTCTGAATTGGGCCACTCTGCATGATGAGTACTTTTACTTTTGGTAGTATATTTTGATGCTAATATTTTTCAACTTTTACTTGAGTAACAGGACTTTTACTTTTAAAAGTCACTGCGGTAGTTCTTTGTTTGTTCTTGGTTTGTACTTTTATTAAAGTACAAGATCAGAGTACTTCTTCCACCTCTGGTACTCACTGATCACTGGTATGCAGTCTATGGATATGCTCCTCTAACAGCCCAACGCCAAACTGTCCCTTTCTCTATGGGGCAGCTGTGGCTTAGGGGTAAATGGACGTAAAGGGACAGTCCCTAGAAAATGGGCTGGCCGGCATAGGGCCTGGGAGCATCATGGCGAAGGTGGTCGAAGGTCAAACCACTGGGGGCTTGGGCAAGATGTTGGTAGCACTACAGTGCACAATAGTTAATAATTGAGTATTCTACCAAATAAATATTTACCAAAATTATGCAAACATATTTATTTCATAACTTGTTCATGTAATAAAACCAACAGACCATTAATATGTGAAGAGATGTTGGTAGTCCTTCACTTTATTACGGTGGAGTTCCTGAATATTTTACACAAATTATGCAAAATCATATTTCTTTGACAAAGTGTTGTATTATAACCAGTAGTATTTCCCAAAACATTTCCAGCATTTCTGTGTGCAGCTGTTAATTACTGTATCAGCTGAGGTGGATGCCAATGTATCTGACAGAAGCTGGTATAGGCTGATTCTATATGGGTACCGCTGATTTATTTATCTAAAAGAATAGTGAGGATATGGCTAATAAAGTGCAGACAGGCTAACATGTATAGTATGCAATATCTGACACAGTAAAGCTTCTGTAAAAAAGCTTCACTACTACAGATAACGGCTATGATGATAATGAAGACAAAGCATGTGTTGCAGAGCAAATGTTTGTTAACTGTCTTGGCCTGTGATTGTGCAGCCCAAACAAGAAGGTTTTTCACAGGTGTATGATAATAACCTGCGTTATTTACTCACTTCTTTGCATAGTAAAGAACAAGTGGTAGGGAAATGTTGTGTTGGATAAGTCTGTGTACCTTTGCTTCAAATGTTTTTCTTTCTTAAACAAGCAAACAGTGGTGCAGTTTTTGCTTTTGCTATTTTCCACAGGGCTCTGGAATCGAACCCACATAGACATTAAGTGAGGCTGCCAGTTCTAACTGCTATCTGCTAATCCAGCAGCCTGCTCAATACTGCATTGATTTGGACCAAGTCGATCAAATGGAAAAAAATATATGTTATAATAATTTTAAAAAATGTATCTGGAAGGTTGTCCAGCGTGGCAGCTCCATTAGATTGGTGTTGCTTTTCTGTTCACTGGTTTAAGAAAGAAGAACAATTGAAACGAAGGCACACGGAATTAGAGAGCAAGTTGTTCGGCAAGACTTTTAGTTAATAAATAAGACACCAAGGGTTACTGTTGATAGCTGGCATTTTAATTAAGCTCAAAGTAATAGAAAAACAATGAAAATCCATGAACACTTGAGCATATTTTGTAAATTGCAAGAAAAAATGAATTCAGAGTTGGAAAAAAATACTATGTTTTTCTCAGTATACTTAATGGATTTGCATACAATACCACAATAAAGAGTCGTTTAGACTTTATATACCATGCCTTTGCTTTTAACTCGCACCCTTCAACAACTGTACTGGTTCATTAGTACAAACCTCCAACACATCAATGTCATTACAAAAAATATTTCTATATGCCAAAATATATATATGTACAGTGTCAACACATACTGAAGTAACCTGTGATTAAAAAAAGTAACAGTAATAAAAGTGAAGCAACAAGCATGAAGGTCCTGAAGCAAAAGCGCCTCAACGACAGTGGACAGGATCTGAAGTGCTATAGGTGAATTCATTTATTTACAATTGTGGACTACTTTAAGGGTAATCATGATCTAATAATTACATCAATGTCCACAATAAAGTGTATTTTTCAGTATTTGTTAGTTCCAACTGCAACATGGTCAAATGGTGATTATTTAAATAACTCTTAAATTGCACAGACTGCTGACACAGAGTGGGAATTCAGTCTATTCTACTACTAATGATAGTCCTATTAGTGATAACGGTGAGTGATCACACTTTTTGCATTTGTAGCACAATTAAAGGCCACAAACGACAACACATGGACACACACACGTGATACATTAAAAAAGCTACTGAAAAGCTACAAGTGGAGTTTTGAATGGATCATATACAAACTAATTTACCTTTTATGTGTACTGTAAATTATGTTTCTCTGAATAAAATCTAAGTCGCTTTTAAAATGTCTTCAAAGCATTATCAAAATGAAATAAATTAAGAGTATATTGCAAGTGCTTTCCAGAATTGTTTCATGGTACAGTACTCCATGTACTCAATACTCTTTTGGAAAGTCATTGCAATCACCAACTGAGGTTTTTTTCACACTCGTCTTGGCACTTCACTGTACACACACATACACAAGTTTTAGCTGTTTATACGATTTTCAGTCACATGTAAAAAAAGAAAAAAACGCGCCTTAATAGCAGCGAAACTCTCATCAAAAACTCCTCCTCTACCTGATCACAGATCAGGCAGACCACCCTTTTGACAACATGGGTTTGAGGGGGGCATAATCTGATCCCAGACCTGTGAGTACACACAACCTCTTCAAACAGGCGCTGACAAATGACAACAACACTCACAGCGCATCCATTTGACACAAAACAAGCATAAGGCCACACAACTTATAGAAACCAAACTGCCTCTTTCTGAGGCGTGACATTCAGTGCTTCAGTGGTTCAACTAGGTAAGGCATTGGTCCGCCTATGATTTTCTTCTCTTTTTTTGGCACATGGGAACATCAATACACATGCTGACGAGTACACTTGTGCCCCATAAAGGTAGTCCAGAGCATAATAACCAACTCTGTAACAACAACGTCTGTGAGGCCCACTCGTGTTCTACATTCCAGTTGTGATTTGTGACAGTGGGATTGTGAGTCCTTTTAATGAAAAAGCAAAATCCACAAATTCCAGAGAAGCTTGTCCAAATATTGGCCGGCCATCTGGCGCTACTTAGTGTGTAGTTTTTTGGGCGTCCCCTGCTTCTTGGTTTGCCACAGATGGCTGGCGATAGTGATGGCGTCCACACTGGCGGACATGGTTTTGGCTGGGATCTGACTGAACTGCTTCCTGTCTGAGTTGTACTTGTACAGGCCCTCGATCATCTTGGTCGTGATGCTCCTCGGCCCGATGCCGGCCAGTTTGGTGATCTCCTCCGTCTCGGGGCAGTAGGTGTACACAGACCTGAACTGGCAACCCGCGTCACGGAACAACACCAGGAAGTTATTGGCTTCAGATTTCTCCATTTCCTGCAAAAAACACAGAAAAATATGGTGTTTAGTGCAGAATATGTTATGCAGACAGATAAATAGTTACATATAATAAAAACATACATCAAGAATCTTGTTCTTCTGCCCTTCGTTGACCTTGCCAGCCAGGCAGCAGTGAGCCAGGGCATTCTGGATGATGTGCTTGTTAGACTTGGCACTCGGCTCCTTGTATAGTTTGGGTCCTGTGAGACAAATGCACATTTAGATGGTTTGACATTTAGAGCAATTGTGTTAATGTTAGAAAATGGTGTACAGGTATGTCTTCTACCTGTGTACTCATTGTTGGAGGGATTGGAAGAGGTGGTGGAGTCATCTTCCCAATCCTTCTCTCCGTTACGACTAATAGTCGAAGGACAAGAAGAAAAGCCTTCTGCAGAGTCCGGCCTGTAGATAATCACGTACAAACAAATGACACGCACAGACGAAAACAAAAACCCACAGTCAACACGTAGAGGGTGATGCAAAAAAGCAGGAATGGAACAATCCGGCGAAAAATTGCACAAACAGACATGCACACACACACATTAAACACACACAGACAGAAAGAGATGTTGTAAAACAAGGTCAGACACTGTGACACCATTTTTCAAACCCTGTCTGTTGTCTTGCATTACATCATACTGTTCATACTCAGAGGAAGCTGTGCAGCAAAGGGACAGAGAGGCATGTTCAGCCAAGCAAAGCAAATGTCAGTGCTGTCTTTACGGCTACTGTGTGTGGGATGAGCTCGAGTTCTCGTGGAGGAAACGGCAAACACAGTGGTGAAGTGCAGAGCAGCCAACATAGAGAAGAGAGCAAACAACAGCCTGAGAGCAATACTGCAAAAGGCAGAGAGGATAAGGAGCAGGAGAACTGAAGCGGAAACAGTGTAGCCACGCGAGTCCCATGAACCTTAATGCAGAAGAAAATACTGCAGAAATGGAATATGTCAAATTATTTCTCTCTCTCGAGACTGCTCCTCTAATGTCTGTGTTGAAGGAATGTCTCATGAAATGCAGGCGGAAGTTATGTGGAGATTGGTCTATATGGAGCCACATCGAGTACACATTACTAACCTTCCCTTTCTTTCTTTGGGAGAGTTTAGAAAGAACGGGATATGGGATACTTTTTTGCCTCTGAGGGACGCATGCAAACAGAGAAAATAAGAAAGGGAAGAGAATCGAGAAAGTAAGCCTCATAAAAGTCAAGACTTAAGAAGAAGGAAAACAACATAACCCCATGAAATGAATCTATAGTAAAGTATATGATATCAGGGTGTGACACAAAGGGGAATATAAGGTGTGAGTTGTGAAGTTTAGTTTTGGAAAGGTTCAAATGAAATATAAAAGTAATCCTGAAAACGTTTTTTATAGTCTTTATAAAAATACATAAAAGTGTGATATTGTGCAGAAATTAGGTGATATTTAGTTAAACCCTTTGAACATAATGTTAAAGACCATAAGATACAACCCACCACAATGTTAAACGTTTGCAAAGCAGAACACTGTGCAGGAAAACACTTCAAGGTAACTGGGTTATAAAAGAGTTATATATATAGTCACAGAGCATTACATCAGAGAATGGGACTTACCTGTTATTCTTTTTGTTATTTGGCAGATCCTTGTCATTGTCAGCCAGATTGAGAGATGCCAAAGAAACACTTGATACTGAGAATCCTCGAGGACGCACCCCTGCAACACAAGCACAGGTCAGTGGCTGTCACCCAGAGATATGTGTGTGTTTATATGAAATGTGTTTATGGTATTCACCTGTCGCTCTCATGGGGGGCGCAGACTCCACGACGTCCCTGTGGATGGACTTGGGTCTCGGCTTCTTCTTGAGACTTCCTGTTCGGGGCTTGATGACGTCGTCCATGTCCTCCATCAGCTTGAGTTGCTTCCTCCTCAAGTATTCATATTTGATGTATTCCTTCCTCGCCTTATCGTCATCCTTCTTCAGCTGGTCCTCCTCTGCTTTCAACCTGCGGGAGGAGACCAGGATGATGAATCCTTGTATGACTCCACACTCAAGTTTAAGATAAATGCTGTCGGTATTCATGCTATAGATCATGGAACACTGTTAGCATTGGCTGATATATGAGGAGTAAGAAAGTGTGACAAACCGTGCAGCTTCCCTCTTCTGCTCCTGGTCCAGCTCCTGCTCCTGCTTCTTCTCCTGAGTCTCCTTCTCCCTCCTCAGCCTCTTCTCCAGCAGAGCTGCTTTCTTTGCTGCCATGTCTTCTTCCCCTTTCACATCATCCTGGTGTTTAATGGGTGAAGAAAAAAAATACACATGTCAGATTGTACATAGACATATTTACACTGCAACATTATAGCCTTCATGACAGTTATTATGACAAATAGCACCATACTGTGTATTTATTGGAGTTAGGGCGGTATTTGGTATTTAATGTGGCAGTAATGTAAGTAACAATGCTTTGACATTGCTCTGTAATCATAGCTCTAATGGTCTACCATGCATCTGTCATTGCTGCGTTTTGTGGCCTAGATTCACTCATGTGTGTCTTTGATCAGCACATGGCTCAACAGGCACAACGCTGCACATGTTCCCAGCTCACATAGTAAGAGATTCTTCCTGTCCCTGCTGCATGCATACAGCCCCACGAGGCCGTATGGACTGAGGCTTATTAACTGTGATTATCAGTTCATATAAGTGAAACATTGGTGCTCTGATGCTGACACGTCTGGAAGGATTTAGGCTGGCAGGTTAGCTAAGGGGGAACCAATTTGAACAAAAGCGACATATCAGTCCAAAACTGGGGAGCCCTGTTTATAAACACTGACATTTCGGGCAAAGTTTATATACATTTCCACACAAAGAAATCACTAAAGGCAGCATGCAGGTATCACAATGTGAGAACAGCAACCAAATCAAGTAATGTTAGTTTAGTTTTGGTTAAAGCTACTGGCTGAACCTGCGTCCAATTCTGCCACATCCAGTTTCCAACCATTATCATAAAACTATAACAATTATCCTCTTAAATATAATTATGTAGCTCCAGCTCACCTTAAAGAAGAATCCACAGCATATCTTTTGGTCTTCTCCATACATGTCTGCTCCTGCCTCTCCCTCTCCCTCTCCCGCCATCTCCTGACCAAGGGGAGGTCTTCCTGCTGGTCTCAGGTCAGATGGAGGCTCCTTCACCACCTCTGAGGAGCCTGATGGCTTCAAACGAGTCTTTCTTTCCCCCTCATCTTCCCTCTCTTTGGCTGCTTCAATATTAGTAGCTTGAGGAGTGCCAGCACTCTTCCTCTCCACATCCTCTTCTTTGTCCTTAGTGCTTTCGTTGTTTTTAGGAGGCCCCTCATCGTGGCCCAGGTAAGCAAACGAGCTGTTCTGGTTCTGGCTGGGGTTGAAACGCCTCAGTCTGGGTAGGCTGTCCACTGAGGTCTGGGTGTTGAGCATTCGACTGAAGGGCGTGACCTTCAGATCGTTTGGCCGTGGAGTCCGAGGAGTCCTGGCGTGGAAGGAGGCCGGCCGCCGCTTTAGGCCAGCAGGGGAACGGTTGGGAGCGTGGGGAGAGCCTGAAGAAGAGAGGATGGGGGACAAAGACCCAACCGAGCCTCGACCTGACCCCCGGCCTGTAACACTGCTGCTGCGCAACTCACGGAGCTGCCTGCGGGGGAAGAAAAACACATATATGAGTTTACAGAATTATGTAAAAAAAGAAAACAGTAGATTTAGCAAAAGTGATACCTGTGTGGAGATGGAGCAGGAGGAGGGATGACCCAGGATTGCTGCTGTTGCTCTCTCATGGACATGATCCTCTCCTGCTGCTGGGCCAGACGCTGCATCTCTGTCTGCAGGAAGCCCAGCGACGTGTTCAGCCTATCGATGGAGCGCGTGTATTCTGTAAGGTCGATTTCTCCTGGAGACATTCCTGTATCACCAAATAATGATTCAGGTCATTTGAGCTGGTGTTAAAGCATTTCACTACATTTATGAGAGCATACTTTCTGTGGTTACTCACCTGCTCCATCCTCACAGGGGGATCTAGGCGCTGCTCCATCTGGCTTGCATCTCTCCGCCCCCTCCATGCTGCCCTGCCTGGTTTCCTTTGAGGCTGATAGTGGCTCTGGGGAAGGGGCTTCTGCTGCCGCTGAGCTGGGGCTGAGGGGGGCAGTGATCCCTTTTCTTCTTACTACATTCAAAAAGGCTGTTCTGCCCATCTTCTGGCGATGGCGGGTGAACGCTGCTTCCACCTGTGAAAGAGCATAATAATATGATCATTCATGTAGCGTAGCGTTACTACTGTTTTCCAAACCTTTCCCTGTATCTGTTTACCTTCTTCTTCTGGGCTTCAATGGCTCTACGTTTCTCCTCCAGCTTCATCCTCAGCTGAATCATCTCTGTGGCTATCAGGTGGGAGGGGTCTCTGGGGGAAGGCGTTGCTGGAGAGGGAGATGTGATTGGCAAAGGGGGTGTAGATATCTAGAAAAAAGTGAAAAGAAAAACACATCTCACTACAAATTGCATTTCTGCCCCTGCAACAAAAGTAGAGTTTTTATGAAAGAGGGATTGAGCAACACAAAAGGACACTAACCTGAGCAGAAAGGCTTTTTGGCGGGTGTGTGTACGGCACATTGAGGTCTGAACTCTCTGGGGTTGTTCCTCCGCTGCTCCTTCCCTCCAGCTTCCTGAACTTCTGCTCTGCAAAGCTCGTCATACGGACCATGGCCCCAGAGCCCCCGCAGGACGAGGCGGGGCTCAGTGTGTGGGATCTGTGGATGGTGGGTGCTGTACTGGGACAGGGGCTGTCCCCACCGTCCCCCCTCCCACCCTCGGGGTTAGTCTGACCGACCCCCTCCCCTCCTCCGGGCCGGCTCCTCTCCCTCTCCCTCTCCCTCTCCGGCTGGTCAGGCAGCGGACAGGACTGGGTCATGGCCTCACAGTCTTGGTCAATTTCTGAGTAGTCTCTCAGAGAGGAGGAGTCCTCATCCAAGCTCTGGATGTCCTCTGTCCTCACGTGGATGCCCGTGTCCACTTCATCGGTGGACAGGGAGTTGGGGTCGTGGTCGTTTGGCCGAGCCTTAGCTGGTCCCAGGTCGTCTCCTGGACCGTGAGCCCCCGGAGGGTCTGACGGCTCCGCACCATGGAGGAAGAAGCCATCGTCTCCGTCCCCGGACCCGAGGCAGGCGTGAGGCCTCTCCGTATTGTGGATAATCTTCAGCGCCTCCTCGATGCTCGGGGGGGAGGATGGGCTGATGTGGCCACTGTGGTTGCCATGGTGATCGTTGTGGCTATGGTTGCTTTCAGGGAGGACTCCATTGGAGTACCTGGAGACAGGTTTGGGTAAGTGAACTCTTGGATAACAGTGACACACGTTGACTAATTGTTCTAGTTACCCAGAGTGATAAACAGCTGGGTGTTCTTCTTATCTTTATGACTCTCCGTGCAGTTTGAACATTCGTTAAAAAAAAATACACACTTTTTAAGTTAAGCCCTTTAAGAGTGACTTAACCCCCAAACACATTTTTGCTGAAAACAAATGTATATGGGTATTTACAGTAGGAGTGTTAATGTGTTGTGTTCTAAAAAACATTAACATAGCATGGTATTTTCAAATGTTTTGAACTTTAAGAACAACTTAAATCTAAAAGTTGTGTTAAGCTTCATTATTCTGTGCTTATCTATACTATAAAGTTTACATGCACATTAAACTATTACAAGTTGAGGAGCAGCACCAAAAAGCATCTTAGAGTGAACAGGCAGCTAATGTATACTGCCTCTTGCTGGTGCAGCACGTGCTTGCATGGATAACACCTTAAATACAGGATAGGAAACATCCTCCCTTTGCTGTACCTGCTTTGGTTCTTGATGCAGAACGTGTTGTTCCGCCCCAGGGATTTCTGGGAAGTGAACTCATCATCCTCCTCTGGTATGTGTCTGCTCTGTCCATTTACATCAACAGGCATGAGGGAGAGGTGGCGTTTCATGCTCCCTCGAGATGCATAGTGAACTTTGAACCCCAGGCCGTCACTGCTGGCAGAGCGGGTCATGCCGCCGGACGGCAGAGTGGGTTCTCCGTCCAGAGGAATCTCAAAGGAGATTCCCCGTGAGGAGGAGCTGCTGGAGGAAGGAAATGTATTGTGAGTTTAATAAACGTATTAATACGTTTAATAAGGAAACAACAGACCTTTTCACATTTGTATCTCATTTCATTTGATCCGCTCTAGTTGGAGTTTGAGTACTAACCGATGTTCTTTGGGCCATGTCCCAACACAGCCATCCACGTAGGACATGGAGGTACACCTCTTCATTATACCTGTGACAGACACAGAGGGGCTTCTTACTGGATGTGTGAAATCCATTATTTCACAAGAGAACAACAAATGCTGCAGTGGAGTGCTTTAGCTTCAGGGAGAAATACGTACACAAAATACTGTATTGGTAATAATGTAAAGAAAAGTGTAAGGCTCAAACGTAGCATACGAGCTAGTGCATGTCTATAACTCAGCCACTAGGGGGCCTCTGATTTAAAAAACACAACACATTCTTCCACTGTTCTGTAGTAATGCATGTACCTGCTAAAATACCAACTATGTCTTCTTTTAACACAAGTTTGTATGGATGGACTCATTGAAGTGAAGATATAACTGTTTTTTCAGAAAGTTGTGTTAAAAAGAGCAGTGTCGACAAATATACCATTACCACTATATACCATTGTGACATCTATTCCCACATGATCACATAAGAAATATTTTTGCCATTCCCCTTTAGATATGAGATATGTTACCCTGTGAAGGGATGTTCTCTGGGCTGTCAGGTCTGTCTGCATAGCTCTGTTTGACAGGACTGGACACAGGAGCCATATGTCTACAGGAGGACACAGGCTCACAGGCTACAGAGAGAAACATACAACAGAAAATCAATATTTTTCTGCAGCCTTGAGTTCATTATTATTAATCATTTAGCATGCATAACTGCCATAATCATTGCTGTTAACAAAGCATGCTGATTTGATCATGAACTTGCACAGTACCGTTTGGATCGAAGACTCTGGGCTGTACAAATGAGGGTTTTACCACTTCAAACCACCAGAAAAGCTCAGCCATAAACACCAGGTAGTTACTCTGCAACACACACACACACACACACACACACACACACACACACACACACACACACACACACACACACACACACACACACAACACACACACACACACACACACACACACACACACACACACACACACACACACACACACACACACACACACACACACACACACACACACACACACACACACACCACACACACACACACACACACACACACACACACACACACACACACACAACACACACCACACACACACACACACACACACCACACACACACACACACACACCATCACACACACACACACACACACACACAGTTAATGCTGCAGTCATATATGTAGTTATTTAATCATTCCATTAGCACATCTGTCACACTCCTTCGCTCAGTGTCTCTGTTAAGATGTTCAATGAGCAACATTCGTAGGATCTAGGAGGAGATACAGCTTTTTGACGGCTCAAGGAGGTCATGGCCTGCAAACTGTTGCTTGGTAACAGGCTCAGGTGTGGGTGTGTTTAGTTAAATTAGTACAGTACATGTTTCATTGAGTGGTTTAATGTCAAACACATACGCTTCATGAAAACGGCCAAAAACACCATCTGGGGTTTAGTTTAAATATGTCACATATGCACAGATGGATGCACAGAGCAGCGAGTGAGTAACCTGAATCTATGATAAATGCATGTTATAAACAGAACGTCTCTAGATCCCTATAAAGACTATTTCCTATGTAGGAAACATTTTGGTAGACGTACAAAGATCTGCTTATTTACTTTCTAGAAGGAATATAAAGACAATAAAAGATTGGGTCTCTGTTTTCGGGCACCAGAGAGAACTGCCTAATGGTTAAAACAACATCACTTCTGTTTTTCATATTAAAAACATGGACATGCACACACAGCCTGGTTAAGATTCAGTGCATGGGCAGGGTGCCAGTCTCTTTACTGCTCTTCACAACTATTTGTATCCCTCTCTTCCCTCCTTTTCCTACTTTTTCAATTGTAACACCACAAACTAAATATAAACAATGTAGTGAATGAGAAGGAAGGGGAAATACAGAGAAAGCAGAGCACAAGTGTGAAAACTGGCTACTGTGTTTTGAAGAATGGAAAGTCCCAGTCAGCTCGGACCGTGACTTGAATTCAAATTGTTCTACCCACGCTCCCCGCATACTATTTACCCACACTGGCTCTGCTCCTTCCAACGTCCCGACGGCACAGAGATGCTTTTAAAGTGGTATAGTCAGTATTTTATTCATTTAGAAACTAATGTGTGTAACATTGGGAGATCTCAGCCTGAGGACTGAGTAAGAAAAATAAACTTTTGTGATCTCTGAGGATCACAGATTTTGTTGTCTGATAAAAACAGAGGGGGAGAGAACAAGGGAGGCAGTTGGAGACGGGTCGGGACTGTGAATCTCCTCTGAGCAGAATCTGTCCTCTGTCTGAGGGGGGGGTGAGGGGGGGGTAATCTGGCTTGCAGCGTATGTACTAGAGAAGCACACACACACACACAGCCTGTCATATTCATTCTAATTTGCCTGCAAAGCAATATTCACTGTAGCAAAATGATTTCTCCCGGTTCATACATCCACACAGCAATAAGCCCAACCGAGGAGTCTGCTCACTTTCTTTATTCAACTTTTCTTTGCATGACTCATTTTTGCCTACTTGTAATCCCCCCCCTCTATTCCTCCTTATTCCCCAAAACACTTTTATTTTCCTTCTTTCTTCAACTGACTCAGCATTATAAAAATAACTTTTTTCCACATCCTTCCCATACAACTCTTTTGATATATTTGAACTCAGGTCTTACCTTTATGGATGCATGTGCATAGAGCATGTCCCCCAGGCTGAAGTGGCAGCAGTGGTTGAGGTTGTTCCTGCAGAACTCCTGCACCAGCTGGAGGTTGTACAGACTGTCAGCCAAAGACATAGTCTCCTTGAGGCAGATATCTGCTCCGCCAGGGGAGGGGTCAGACACAAACACACACGAGGGAGGGGTGATAGCAAGGGCCAGGCAGGAAGACAAGGAAAAGATAAGGCATAGTTTACATTTAAAGTGAGACTGCCTTTCCCACTAATATTTGCAGCAGGAGCTGATTCGAATCAGTTATGACTCAAGTTTTCAAACTCCCTCTAGATGAATCATCAGGATTTGTATCCCCTGACGTTACTGTGAGCACGGCCCATGCATGTGTATAATGTTAACAAAGAGGAAACAGACAACCAAACATTACAGCAGCTGATTTCTCTGGAAATTATGTCATTCTGTACTTCTTTACTATTCTTAGAGTAAATTAAGCACAAATTAACTAGCTTCCACATCTGGTCCACATGTGTATGAGCGCCCTGTGGACCACATTCAGTCCCGAGAGTCTCAGAGTGCCGGCACGAGAGTTGTTTATCTTTGAAATAGCAGCTAGCTACTCCTCTAACGGTCCTCCGTCACGCACCCCTCGCAACCCAACCCAGGGCATTTATAGAAATGAGGGCGCAGGCAACTTAAGAGGAAACACAGCTTTGTTTTCCATGTCTGTCCTCAGTCCTCTCTTCTTCTCAGTCTTTCTTAGGTCAACACGCTTAACAATACCCTCCATTTATATCATTAAATGTATCCATAGAAAGTCAAAACATTTCCTGAAAAGGCTGCTACACTACCATTATTTGTTTTTGATTGAATTGACTTTCTTACGTATTCAAAAGGCAAAAGCCCTCAGAAAATGACTCACACTGATGATAAATATACTCTTTGTTTGAAGCCCTTTATTCAAATGTATGGTTGAAGTCAGAGCAGAGAAGAGCATCCTTTGTGAGTTCAAGTTGAGACTGAAAGTCATTGTGGTTAGCTCATTCAATGCTATTTCTTTATGATTTCCTATTGTATATTTGGACCAACTATAGTCCAGTCTGTTTACTTTTGGGGAATATCACAATAAAAAGGGCGTAGTAACATATTTAGGAGTTGTTCCCACCTTCCAGTCTGATGGCCTGTGGGCAGTAGAAGTGCAGCAGGGCGGTCAGGGCACAGCCGTCTGTGTTGTCCTTCAGCAGGTTCTCCACCAGGGGGAGTGACGGAGCGCTCCTCTGCTGGGCCTGCTCCCGCCTGTAGCGAGCCTGAAACCATGGCAACGGCAGAAAGACATCACCTATATGTGTCATCGGGATGTAAACGTACAGCTGGCTCTCTGATTGTTGGTGCAAACATCTGCAGACACACCTCCATCTGCATGCACCGGTGCGCACAGACAACTCAATCATGTAGTAGGTGTTAATTTCAAGCATAGGGTGGGCTTCAGGCTAAACTCAAATAATACAGATTAAATTCATCATGCAAATAATAAACATCTGGATTTACTTTGTCATCTTTAATATAAATGGATAGAAAAAATGCAATTATAACACCTCTGCACTATTTTTGCTCCCTTTGATTGATTCTGAGGAGTGGTTAGGTTTTTTTAGAAGGAGAAAAGGAACACAATCTAACAATTCAATTGTTGTCCACATTATACATCAACGTGGGATCTAAAGTTGAATAATTTGCGTGAGTGCATTCATGCTTTTTCTGTTCCTGTCTCTCTGGGCCTATAACAAACAGAGACACTACTGCTACATACATCTTCAAGAAATCAAGTTTACCAATTAAATCACAAGAGTGGCGTCGAGTTTGCATTTGACAAGAAATTCAATGGAAGCTTTAATTGCAGCAGCCTTCACTGTCTGACAGCGTCTCTGTCTGTGTTCGTACATCAAGCTCTTAATAACAAAATGTTGTCATTTTAATTCGATTTGGTTTATATAAACTGGTATTACATCCTTAACAAAATGTGCTTTTAATGCCTAACACAGACAATATAAATGCTACATTAAAAAAAAGGAAAAACGGTAGCTAACAATTCCGGGGTACTAGCATTAGTTTTTAATATGTGTTAAGTGAAAAGTCTAACACAAGAGACATTGGCTAATTCCCAGTATTCAAATGATCATGCTACAGGACAGCTCTTCCAGGTGAAGTTTCTGACCATAGAGCTACGTTTAAAATGGTTATTATATCATTCAATCAGATTCATAGGCATGTGAAGACAGGGGGCCGGGTGGGGTAATGTGGGAGGTATCAGAGCAATGCATGATGGGGCTCAGGGCCACATGCATTGAGAGATTTGGAGGGGACAATGTGAAGGGGTGTATCCTTGCAGGTTTTGGATTAGACAGAGGAGAGGTAGATGGTGGAGGTTGGTGAAGAAGAGTTCTTCAGAATGGATGGACTTACAGGTACTAATCTCCAGTACCATTTGCTAGGAGACTTGATGGTGGATGATGATTGGACGACAACAGGAGAGAGTGGGAGAGGCGTTAGGGTGACAACAACAAAATGTTTGCTACTATACAGCTGAGACGGTGGGACAACCCCTCTCTTTACTCTAGTAAAGACTGCTTTACATTTGCAAAGGCTTTCTCATAAACTTATTACATATGAGAATACACAAGTAACTTTGTCTCCCAAAGGCTCTACAAAAAAAGTCTGACTCAAAGGGTTCTTTCCTAAAACAGTCTTTGTATTTTCAACCAATGATTTTTTAGAGATGAAGGCATTTAACTAAAAAGCGTAGCCCTTGCATCCTCTTACAGTATAAGAAGCTAATAAAATGGGCATAGTCTCATCTAAAACACAGAACACAGCCTTCCCTCTTCAGGGAGTCCACTGTTTCTATAGCTAATGGTATGGTAAATGTAAACACAGTGATTGTTGACCTTTGGTTACATTTCTCTCCTAATAAGGCTCTACAACACAATAGTTGTTAGTTTTAACTTGCTAGTATGCTAATTGGCTAATAAAAACTTGCTATTGTAAATGTCAGGGGGAACACAAACATCTGGTCATTTCATAGCAATTATTCCAAGACGATAAGATATTTATCTTGTTGTTATTGAAATCCCAGGGAAGGTGTATAATATATTGGAAACTAATAACCAGTTGACAAATGGTACCAAAAATAACTTCATTTATGAAAAGTAATACAAACTACAAGCTTATATTCACACAGAATCCATCCACAAATGCTGCACTTAGTCATAAGACCAAGACTTTTCACACAGTCCCAGAATAGACAAGATCAGATCTGAGTAGTGTCTTGTGCTCATCCATGAGTGTGTGTGTGAGTGTGTGTGTTTGTAAAGGCATATGTGTGTGTGAAAGAATCTTCTCGTCAGTGAATGGACTTCTGTTGAGGCTGGTAATGCAGAGGAGGAGCTGTGTGATGGAGCGTGCAGTAAGAAAGCAGCTGACTGACACTGAGTGTGCAGCGTTTCCTCACACTTTTAAAAGACCTTCTTCTTCCCTTGTTGTAACTGGTTGCCTTTCACAAAGCCAGAGAGAGTGTATATGTGAGTCCGTGTACGCTAGCATACACAACTTATGTGTATTATCAGCTCACAGGCCAATCACTTGCAGGCAGGGATCACACTTACTATACGCCTCAAAGCAAAACAATGAGTGGAAGAAAATTTGCCAAGAAACTCCCACTGCAGATAAAAGCTCCTTTAAATCAAATGTAGCCACTCGTGATATCTTGTAGCTCTTTAAAGAGATAACTAATAGTGATTCAAGGGGACAGCATGTGAGCATATTACAATATAATATGAGACGATAACGTGGGTTTTTTCAGCTTCCCGTGTGGCTCTAGCAATGTCAGTCTGTCAATCAATCCACAAATCAGGTCCAGACTGAAGACTCTCGGTGCCCAGAGGATGAATTCTACTGACTTTTGGTATCCTGACATTTCCTCTAGCGTCAGCATGAGGTTGACATTTGTTGATTTGAGTATAATGTCTCAACAACAATTGGATGAATTGCTATGTAATTAAGTCTAAAGTCTCCTGCAGGATCATTTGTTATAACACAAGCGATCTCATTACTTTCACACACTTAGAAAGCGTTAACATGCTAACATATTAAACTAAGAAAGTAAACATTTTATTGAAAAATCTGCATTTTTACCATTGTAACTGTGAGCATGTGTCCATGCTAGCATTAGCATTGGGCCGAAAGCCCCCCTGCATCTACCGTAAGGACAGCCTTTAGTAGCTAGCATGGCTGTGGACATATATTCTTGTTGATTCGAGACAAAGGTTATCACAGCAGTTAGCAGGAGATAACTTGTAACCACACAGGTTTACATGGGGATAATGGTATTGACATATTAGGTCATTCAAAGCTTCACTCAGTGTTTAACTTGATATTGAATGGCAGGAAGTTTACCAACCCATTTCAATTTGCCACAGTTCTATTTTTTGTTGTGTACACATGCTCGCAGTGAGATAATATGTATTTTTCCACCCCTTTGTCACTGCTGTTGAGCACAGGCCCGAGGCGGGGGTCATGACCTCACAAGGCACTGTGCTGTGGCCTTATGGGTAAGTGAGTGGAAGAGGACAGTAGCTGGCCGCTGTGTGTTTGTCCCAGCAGCCTCGTTGTGTCACATGGACCTTACATAACTCTGAAGCCTGCAGGATGACAACACTGCCTCTGTCTGTCACTGACTCTCTTTAGCTACAGCTGACAGAGTTCCTAAGTGTCTCTCTCCATGTCTCCGTTCCCCTCTCTCTGATTTTCCCTCCTCACTTTTCTTCTCACTCTGTTTCATATTTCTTTGTCTCCTCTAGCAGCGACTCTTGCCAACATTTCTGTGCAGCTGGTCTGAGACTGAGCTCATCTGTTCCTCTGACTTACAGAGCTCTGTGTTCTGCGCTGTATGTGTGTGTGGACTTAAACCTGTGCTACTGTCTATAAGTAAAATAGGAAACAATCAAAATCTAATATCAACAGACGGGTGATTTACTGTAAGTCTCCTATCAACTTGACAAAAGGCAAGTTTAAGAATCAGACAATACATCAAATAAGATGCAGACATTAATGATTACAAGTCATGTTTATGTTTTTATTGCTGTTTCTGAAGGAATAGCTTGGGGAAATATACTTGTTAGCTCTCTTGCTGAGGGATAAATTAGAAGATTCTCATATTCTATAGCCGAGGGATTAGGGCGCATACCACATGGGACCACTGCCCTGAGAAGGAAGTCTCTGGTTCATTTCTCTGCAGGCTCGAACATTTGCTGCATGTCATGTATCTACAGTACTCTCTTTTCCCTCATTTCCTTTCTCATTCCACAAAAGCATGAAATTACCCAAATTTATTAAAAAAAAACATAGCTCACAAATTATCATGCTGTATTTTCTGTGTTGCATTTGCACACTCACAACCCAACAACAACATTTGGCAGCGGTGACTTCCAATGTCCTCTAATGATTTAGAGGACATTACATTTAGCTTATTGTGCAAATTAAACAAAGCAGATAATAAGTGTTAATTGTGAGCTTTAGAGAAGCTGATAGGACGATTTTGGACAGCTAGCTGTTTCCCTTGTTTGGAGTCTTTATACTAGGCTAAATAATTTTTGGGGAATTTCCCTAAAACACAATGTTATTTCACTAACAGTTTGTGTAAGTATGTGTTCTTACTTTGTTGGTTGTTGAGTTTGACTCCTGAATGGAAGCTTCTCTCAGCTTTTGCTCTTCAACAAGTATGTCCCTTAAGTATTCAGTCACCTGGAGAAAGACAGAGACAGGCAGACAGACAGGAGGGCAGCGATCAAGGTCATATTTCAGACACTGAGAGACTGAATGGGCGAGTCTGTGGTGGAGAGAGGGGAAACTTGAACATGAGAACAAGAGGCTCCACACATCAAAGAAAAACATTTCACCACCAAACCTACTTATTAGCTACCAATGCTAAATATCACTGTAACCTGATACTCAAGTCCAAAGTAGAAAAAACTAAAAAGATTACTTATAAAGTATTTTAAAGTCCCCTTTTTACGATAACTGCTTTACTGTCTTCAATGGTTCTGAACAAACAGTGATGTAACATTTTGGCTTGCAGTACACACATTTTGTATTATTCGAACCATGGCGTGCTACGTTTCAGTGCTGAACAGAGAGACAATCGCCCATGTTCTTTTTTTTTTAATGTGTGTGTCTGTAGATGAATCTTGCCTGTGTATCTGTGGACTGGAAAAGAGAACAGCAAGCACATGAGCTTATTCAGGAAAGAATGTCAGTGACTATTGTACATTTAATTGATTCATTCATGCCATGCTGGTGCCTATTTCATTATTTTACACAAAGTAGAATTTAGTCAACATCATTTTTGGAGAAAAACGGTGAAAAGCAAAATCAGTGAAAGCAATTTGAAGTGACTACACAATCTGTAAGATGATGAAGTAAAGTAAAAATGCAATCAATGAGACTTAACTAAGGCCCTCTTAAAGCTTTACAGCCCAGTCCAGTTCTGACTTTAACCTCTATATCCTGCTTTAGCAAACCACAGGAGTTCGGTTTAGTCAGTTATCTTCTTCTAATCTCTCTGGCAGGATTACTTGTTGTTCATTTTTCATCTAGTTCCCTTGCAAACATGAGATTTTGAACCAGCGCTGACACACTTTCCAGCCCCGTTCGTGTCTTCCTTATCCGGAGTCAAACAAAGAACTGTGTGTCGTATTTTAAAAGGCTTAAGAAAGTGTACAGTTGTTTCCCTCTGAAATGAGAAAGCACATGTCCTTGTGGTTTTATGAGCACACAACATGACCCTCGGTGAGTGTGTACCTTGTTGATCCATGTGGCGATAGCATCCTCTGTGTCATACGGCAGCTCCTGAATGTGTCCGTCACCGTGTGAGGGGTCGGCGGAGGAGTACCTGTTGATGCACGACATCACCCTCTCCACACTCACCATCTCCACAGTGTACGCCATCATCAGGGTATCAATGAGCGCCAGGTGGGAACTCTGTAAAGACATAAGGACATTGCAAGGATTAATGTACAATTATTTTCTAAAGCATCAAACTTACAATTAAAGGCCAAACCTTATGTTTCCATATTGTGATTATCTGTGCATCACGTTGACTATGGAGCAACACTTTCTATTTTTGAGTTGCCTAAAACCTTTCATTAAATAAAAGATCATCAGTTTTGTTCTCTTAAAAAAAAGAAGGATTTAACCTTTTGCATACAGCTGCAAAAAACATCCAAAAGAGCATCTAAAGGACAACAATTAGAATGTTACAACACACATTTAATAAATGTCACATCTCCTCATTTTGTAACAATCCAACATGTACACTCCACCTCCCTTTCCTGGAGTGTTTCCAACCAGACATTGTGTGTAAGGAATCCACTTACAGAGGCCAAGGAAAAAATAAACTCAAATGTAGTGACGTGATGCTGCAACATTACAACTTTCAAGTAGGGGCTCTAAAAATAACTATTAATCATGAAGTAATTTCTTGTGAAATCATATTCCTGGCGCACTGTTGGAAAAGGGGAAAGGATTAGAGTTGGGAAATATGACGTGATATTCTGTGTACAGGAATACAAATGTACTCAAACTTGGGACAATGCGCTTCAGAATCTTAAAACCAAAGACCCCCAGAGCCAGTAACAAATAAAAAAATCTATTTTTCTATTCTATAACCAAATTGTCTTTCCTTCCTCTGTGTGGATTGCACACGTTTGTTTGTTTGTTTGCCCTACATTATTATCAGTCCTACAACTCCTACAAATCTATGATGCTCCAAACCTCCAAACTCTTGTCTTAGGATTTTAACTGAGGCAGCTTTGTGGACATCAGGAAGTTCCTGAGATTTCAGCTAAATGGGATCCTTTAAAGTTTATCTTTAGAGAATCAAAGTTGCTGAAAGCTATCTGTCCAAAAGTCGACTCTTTTTTTTCCATGTCCCTTTAGGGCCTCTGTATGTTTCCGTGGGAGACTAAAACGTTTTACACACACACACACAAGTGCTGTTGTAGAACAAGTTTGATGCCATGTTGTGTGGCATCTGAACATACATTTAATTCTGCTATTCGTCATTGTGATTGCATGATTAAGACATTATAATAATAAGAAAATGCTAACACTACTGTAGGTTAACAGCAAATTAGTGCAAGAATATCTGGATCATATGATAACAATGTATTTTTCATGTGAGCTTCTCAAATCGGTGTAGACCTTTCTTCATTCTCTCATGTTTTCTTCATCTTAGGTGAGGTAAGCTCTCAGGCCCAACTGAGTCCAACCCGTCTGAATCACACTCCTAACTGTCTGTACATAGCACTACTTTTATAGCGCACAAATTACCTAATGGCCTACCAGCCCTCAACACCTACAGCACACAAAGCTTGACATTCTGCTGGCCTTTCTGATCCCATTCCAGACCGGTCAGACCAACAGGCCTCTCCTTCCCTTTCCTGTCATACCACTAGGTCAGCTCAAAAACATCTACACTCTGTCTGTGTGTGTGTGTGTGTGTGTGTGTGTGTGTGTGTGTGTGTGTGTGTGTGTGTGTGTGTGTGTGTGTGTGTGTGTGTGTGTGTGTGTGTGTGTGTGTGTGTGTGTGTGTGTGTGTGTGTAAACCCTAATAAACATACACCTAATGTGAGGAGCTCCAGGTGACTCATACCAACACACACAAACAAGCAGTGACATTTCTCCCGTACTGTCAAGCACAGTCGACTATTCATAACCACAGAGCCTCCTGTAACAGCCAGAGTGACCACGTTTTTCCCAAAGAAACCAACAACAGATCCAGATGTACAACTCTGGACTGCTGCTGGTGCTCTACATCTGCCCGTCCAAACAGACAGTGTGTACCGAGGAAATATGGCTGTAAGACACAAACTTCTTATGGAAATAAGTGCGGAGAAAAATAAGAAACTGGACTTATGTGTCATCTGATGTTCTTCATCATTAAATCTAGTGGATTTTACCAAAGGAATAATAGCTAAACAATCTTATTGTAAACTACAGTTGTTTGTAGACGCTGAAACAGTGCTGACCTGTATAACGATACATGCTGGTGGACAAACAGTTTGTTATATTGAATGCTTCAGTTGTAGCCTGTTAAATGGGTAAACATGATTGTTTGGATTGCAGGCGGATACTGTCTAAGAAACAGTCTGCACACAGTTTTTTCCTGCATCTTCAGGATATTGGAAGATTTTTGACATTCTCCTCCGAGGGTACAGTAGCCGGTCTGGCTGACAGATGGACAGACAGACAGAGAGAGAAAGACGGAGGGTGAAACAGACGAGAGAGAGAGAGAGAGAGAGAGAGAGAGAGAGAGAGAGAGAGAGAGGAGAGAGAGAGAGAGAGAGAGAGAGAGAGAGAGAGACAGACAGAGGGTGAGACAGACAGAGAGAGAAAGACAGAGGGTGAAACAGACAGAGAGAGAGAGAGAGAGAGAGAGAGAGAGAGAGAGAGAGAGAGAGAGAGAGAGAGGCAGAGAGAGAGAGAGGCAGACAGAGGGTGAGACAGACAGAGAGAGGGTGAGACAGACAGAGAGAGAAAGACAGAGGGTGAAACAGACAGAGAGAGAGAGAGAGAGAGAGGCAGACAGAGGGTGAGACCGACAGAGAGAGAGAGAGAGAGAGAGAGAGAGAGAGACAGGCAGAGAGAGAGGGGGAGAGACAGACAGATATAAGGAGAGGGGGAGAGAGAGAGACAGGCAGAGAGAGAGGGGGAGAGACAGACAGATAGAAGGAGAGGGGGAGAGAGAGACAGGCAGAGAGAGAGGGGGAGAGACAGACAGAGAGAAGGAGAGGGGGAGAGAGAGAGAGAGAGAGAGGCCCAAGCAGCTTACACTGGAGCTGCAGATCCAGAAAACTCAATTTTCATGATCACACTGATCTTTTGCTGTGATTGAAGGTTTTCTGAAGCCATTTGCATAAACCGCACTAAATCTTTAATATAGTTAAGAAGCTTATTAAGGTGTGAGTTTTCGGAGCATTGGGGGAGGAAGCCACATGAATTTAAATGGTAATGACAAATCACGTGTTCATTTATGTTTCATAACGATTTTTGTAAATTAACAGCTGCTTCAAAACATGGACCAATTTCGAATGCCTATATTGTTGATTTTGTACATCTTCTAAGGGACTGTACTAAAATGATAAAGGGTGTTCAAAAAGTATTTTAGAGTTGTGCTAAAATATTAAAACAATGTAATATTTACAGCATATTGCTCTCTATAAAACCACAACTTGTACTTTTTACATTTCATGCAGAGATTAAAAAAACAAGATTGTTAAAAGTGAAACATCGTGTTCAGCCCCCGACAGTTCCAATTCATTTACAGACAATCCCTAGGTAAAAAATAATGTCTTATTGTTACCATTATTAATGTGTAAGATTGAGAGCGCGACTTTTGTTTTACCAGGTTATTGTTCGTCACCGTGTTGTGTATGTTTGTCTGCGTCACTGTTCTCTCGCTGCTTCTAATAGGACAATGTATGGAGAACTAAAGTGCATGTGTGTGTGTACATATGGGTGTGTGAACGAGACAGAGAAGGAGACAGACTGAGTACGTGGTGCCACTGCTCTCATATCCAAAGGAAAAAAGGCGACTGTTGACACTATAACAGAGATTTAAAAGCCATGTGCTGTCTATTATCCCTTCAGAAAGACCTTTGGTGTGTGTGTGTGTGTGTGTGTGTGTGTGTGTGTGTGTGTGTGTGTGTGTGTGTGTGTCCTGAGGCAAATCTAAACCCCTCACAGTGACAGACGCCCCTTATAAGGCTGTGGAAATGGCAGATAGTGGTCATAAAGAGTGGTAAAGAGCTGCAGTGCTCTCTCACAGAAGCATCAGCATTCATCCTCACTGCTGTGGTATTGCTGTGTGTGTATGTGTGTGTGTGTGTGTGTGTGTGTGTGTGTGTGTGTGTGTGTGTGTGTGTGTGTGTGTGTGTGTGTGTGTGTGGTCCTTGATCAAAGGCATCTATAGGAAAGCACAACACAGCTGAGCAAACAGATAATCAAAGTAACCTCTTTCTCCACAAAGTGTCTGTTCAGCGCAGGTACACACTCAGACAAATCTGAGCACCGCAAGTGTTTTTATTTTACAACCTAACACCTACATCAGAGTTCCCGTTAGACTAATTATTTGCCGGTCAACATGTCCGTTACAGTTTAAATCTTCCGGACAAAATTAGAAAAGTGCCGGTCAAAAGGTCTTCTATGTTATTTATTGAGCTTTGAAACAAATTGATATGATTCGATATTAAACAAACTAATTATAGTAGATTAATTAACTATTCAAACGTGTACAGTAATTTACAATAACACGGGAATAATAAACGGAGCGCTCTCCCCCTCTCCTGACAACACGCCAGTATCATGCAGCTCGCGGATCCAATAATGAGTGACCCGACAGTAAAACTAAACATATCTATAACTAGTTTAGGTAGTTTGAGAGGTAATTAAAATAGCTACGTGTGATATTCTAACCTGAAGTGTGTGGTTTGTTCCGCTCACCGCTGCAGGTGATCATGCAGAGCTGGGTGTCGACTCGTCAGCAGCAGCTGATCTCTCTCCCGTCAGATTAGACTTCACTCGCGTTTATCTCCATATCGATCAGATCTAGCTAGTTCTAGCTAATGATATACCTGCTTATTAAAAGACACCTAAACAATAAGCTTCGCTCTGCAACGGGGTGAGGCCACAAAGTATAGCGCAGCATTATGCATTTGTTTACATGCCCAACGGAACCCTGAGGCATTACCAACAGATCAACGCACAATCAACCCATACAGGACATCTCTTTCTCCATATTAAGTGTAGACATTATAATTGACTATTCTTGTCTGTCACGTACTCTTTTGTCTGTCACATACTATTCTTGTCTGTCACATAAGTGGCGCAACTGATGCGGTATTGCGCTAATGGGAAATAATTTTGACCGGACATTTTGACCGGAGAGATTTAGATTTGCCGGTCTTCAGCATATTTTACCGGTCATAGTCCGGTAATTACCGGCTAACGGGAACTCTGACCTACATGTCTGTCTCTATTGAGATGTTAGTGTGTAGTGTTTGCCATTAGATCTAATGTCCACTCTTGCTATCTTTCTCACACACATGCATTAAACACTCCAAATCTCTCAGCGCTATTGAGCAGGAGGCTTTTAGTCGAGGGTACACGCCCCTCTGCAGGAAAATGTAATTACCGCTACGGCTCCCTCTCCTCCGCCACACTCTTGTCTTTGCATTTCAACCCTTAGAGGGCATGGTGTGTGAAATTATAAAAAGGTCAAAAGTAAAACTAGAAAAAGACACACAGGTGTTGAGCACACTGCAGGAGGTCTGACAGCTCTTTGGAGGTGTGTGTTGTGTGTGGGGGCTCTCATTTGTGCACCAGACGTGCATTGCCTCAATGTGAGACCCCACCCTCCACTGTGCTGCAGTACTGCACATCACGTCTTCCTCCTCTCCTTTCCTCAAACCCTCCCTGCTTTCCTTTCCTCCTTCTCTTCTCGTCCTCTCCTAGTCGTCTCCCTTTTCTCTCCCCCATATTCCAGATGGCCATATTAACACTGGGCCTTTTCCACTGTTTCTCTGGCACACGCATGAGGCCTCGTCTGCCAAAAAGGAAATACCTTCCTTCTTCTCTCTGTCTTTCCTTCTTGCCTTTCCCTATTTCCCCCTTTCCATTCATCCTACTGTAGATTTCCACTCCTCTCTTGCTCTACTTTCCTGCTTCCTCCTGAATTGCAGCCAATTGGCCGCCCCTAAACTCCATATTTTCCCTCCTTCTCTCTATATATCCATTCACCCTCTGACAGACTGCCACACTCCTCCTCCTCCTCCCTTTCCTCCCTTACTGAGTTATTATTCTGTTGCACAGTATTTGGAAAACCATGAGGTCATCATTTTTCTTCAAAGATATACCATAACCCAAAATGAAAAGCCTGGACTTTTAGCGTGACCGTAATTATCCTGCTGAGTCCACAAATACACACAGAGGCAGTCCCTCCACCTTGCCAAACCAATCAGATGATTTCAGAAGGGCACAGAGCCACAATAAGGACGAGTAGATTAACAAAATTGCCAGGCTGTGTTACACAAATGAAGGTCAATAGTCGACTGGCTACAGGCTCCATTTGTCTTCTTAAAACTGTCACTAAAACTCTAAATCACCGGCCCTGCACAGTGAGACAAAGAGAGACGAATGCGAGAGGTGAGAAAGGACATTAAGTGCTGCTTTTAATCGGCGTCCATCATTCCCACCTTCATGACAACCTCAATCGATGAGTGGTGTAGTGAGCACAATCAACCGTAAACATACAAATGCACTCTTGACTTTAAATCATCCTCTCAAGCTGTAATAAGAGAACACAAGCAGAGGGCAAATGAAATACTGGCTACATCAGAGAGAGAGAAACGGTGAAATATTTGTAATCTTCTATTAGAGATAATACAGTTTAATTTAATCCACAAAGATAAGAGTTTGAAGGAGACAGAGGTAGGGGCTAGGAGAGGAACATAAGACAATGAGAAGAAGAGGGATATGGAGAGAGGAAGGTGGCAAACAGAGAGTTGAGGAAAGAAATAGTAAGACAGACAGAGTTAGAGCAGGAGGGGGAGGGGGGGAGAGAGGGTGCACTGCAATGCAGACACCTTTTGCTGTCAGCAGAAGTACCCGGACTCCAGCCATGTGTGTGCTAGCAGTGGGTATGGATCTGCAGCCAGACTCAAACAACATAACAAATCTATTTCACTGTAATCATGTTCAGTAAATAGTGGCAATTTTATATTTTAGACCCAAAACAATGAGCTAATTAGGCAATCAACACAAATCTATCAACGTTATGATAATATCTGGATTCATTTATCAGGCGAAAATGCTCAATAATGTGCTCTGAAAGCCTCCCCAATGAGAGGATATTTCATTTAAACTGAACATCTTTGTGTTTTGGACTGTTTTGACCAAATTAGCAATATGTGTGCATTACTTTGGCCATTGTCTTTGTCTCCTGCAAACAAATCTACTCTGATATTCAAAAAAATAATCAATAATTTAAATAATAGCATGTTGCAGTCCTTTTTTGTTCGTCCATTCATTGCTGCACACAGTATTGACAACATACTACCAGAGTATCTCTAAGGGATGTTTGCCAGGAACTGTCTAATAACACACAGAGTGAACAGTGAGTAATGGGTTGCTATAGGAAACCCGTCATTAGCGGTTGTGTTTTTCCCCCAAACGGGACAGATCTTGGAGGACAGTCAAACAGTCGGACACATGTAGCCGTGCATGCAAACACACTATCATATAACTTACTCACTCCCCATGAAAGAAGACATAGCAAAACACACAGTAACATTCACTGTTTTTATAGTAAATCTGCTTTTTTTCTCTGTTTCATGTATTTTTCACGATTTTATAGACAATTAGGGAAAATAAATCCTTAGCTGTAGCCCTGGTTCATATTCTTGTGTGTGTGAGCCTATGTGTGAATTTGCAGAAGAACAGATGGAGATGTAAATGCAGGGATCCCATTTCCCACATCTTATCACCACGGTTACTAACATATATGCATGTTTAAGTGTGAACAATAAGAAAAAAAATAAGAAAAAACCTAAATTAGAATGTACTGTAAAATGTAAAATGTTTTCAGTCTTGTACTGAGCTACCTCTCACCATGTGTATGGGCGTGCTGGTCAGGTCTCTCTCTGTGACCAGGCGGTCCTGGTCAGTGACGTACAGGCCTTTCTGAGCCAGGGCCTGGATGACAGCGTTGTGTCCCAGTAACGGTTTGACCGCATCACTGCGGAGGATCAGGCTCCCCGCCCGGCAGTAGAGCTCAGCGGACTGCAGCAGGCAGGCCACCGGAGGCTTCAGGTGCTCCTGCTTGTACTGGTCCCTGTAGAGAGGCTCCACCAGGTCCTCTGGGACTGCGTCTGAGCGGAGAGAAGTGAAACAGAGAGGATTAGGGTTAGATTTACAATACGACTCGAATGATAGATGATCATCCGATGGGATAAATCATATTATTAGGTACTATTCCAATAATAGAATTTAAGTTGATACACTTTGGCCGACATCTGAGTTATATTGCCTTTTATTGACTTAACAACCGCAGCTAAACACTCCAATAGAAAATGACAGCAGGATTGCAATTTACAATATACGTTTTTTGTTGTAGTACATAAATAAATGAACATTTGAAGAGTTTAAACTGTTCTTTGTTTTTGTGGTGTAAACAGTTGCTATGTCAGTTCGATTTGGTTAGGTACAGTGGAATAATAACTACATTATCTTCACTTCAGGTGATCATTAACTACTGGTTATGAACTTCTTTTTTAAAACACTAAATTGTGAATTGAACCAAATAGTGCATCCCTTATAAAGCTGATTCTATTTTCATTAAGCCTCTTCTTTTCTCCAGCTCCATTGTTGCTCAGACAGCATCCACAGAGAAGCCAACAATGAATGCATGGAGGCGATAAAAAAGCTATGCTACTATTCTTTCTATATTTTACTGTCTCTGTTGTTGTTGCTATGGCTCCCTCACACTGTAGCTCAGAGCCTCACCTTCGTGGTCGCACCCAGCTTTTTGCACACAAATAATCACACACAAAAGCACCGAAAACATGTTTTGCACCACAAAACCTCCTGACCATGATCGGAGAAAAGTATATTTTAGAGCAAAATGAGTTCAGTTAGAGGTGAGACAGTTTCCACGGAGAGATTTCACCATCATCATGTGTGTATCTGTTGGAGGTTATCTCCCTGAAGATCCACACGTCTTGTGAGCACACAGTGTGTGTGTGTGTGTGTGTGCGTGCGTGTGGTAGTGTATGTTACAAAGCATGGAGTACCTTCTAATCCTGTAACCTCATCCAGTAAATCTGATTTGAAGAAAATAGCTGGACACGCGCGCGCGCACGCACGCACGCACGCACGCACGCACGCACACAGTCTTTATTTGTTGTTGTCAACCACATGTCGTGACTCAGAGTAGTACTATCCTAGTCACCAGTCTGTCATTAAATTACATATACATTGTATCTATTATTAGATAATACCATTGTATAGGAAGTTGTGTGTGTGTTTGTGTGTGTGGTGACACACTTTTACGGCAGTGTGTGCTTCAGTATGAGTGTGTACTCCTGGTGTGTGGAGTAATTTCCTTTCTGCATTTCTGTGAATCACCCAAGGAAACAAAGGAATGAAGGACTCCATCTTAGAGGTATAGCTTTACGCTCTTCAATTCTCCAAAATAACAACACTTTAGAGGTGAAAAAAAGCTTGACAAAACAACCTCATAAAATTAAATAATTAAAGCTTAAAATCCATTAAGCTTGTGATCAAACTATGGCAGTTTTCCAATGGCTGTGGTCAGAGTCCTACCACGTCCCAGCGCTGTTTGATGAAAGAGATATTTAAAGCAACAGGCAGATGTTTAACCACATCAACTTCTACTTCATAACAAGCCCTCCTGTGTCTATTCACAAATATTAAATCAATCCAACTTTTGTCAGATTGTCTATAAAGCTGATTAATGGATCTGTACTTAAAGAAGCTTCTGAGAATATAATGTGCCAAGAAGTGATTTTTGCGAAGTAATTATGTTTCTGTTGTTAGAAATGGTAAGTTACAGTACACTCTACGGAGGGAAATCACTATCCCAAAGACACAAGCTTTTTTTCAGATAATGGCAGTTAACACTTGATCAATCAAACTACATTTAAGCTTCAAGGTTAATCAAATCCTTTAAAATGACTAAATAGAATAGCGGGCTACAATGGCACACATAGCAAGTTTTTCTCGAGTTCAATAAAAATCTGCCTTGTCAAGTAAAAGCCCTCTCCTTTGTGTTGGCCATCAAAGAGGAAACAGACAGGAAGTAGCTGCCACAGGAAGTCCAGGCACGGAGAAGACTGGAGACCCCTGGGATCACAGCTCAGCACAACGTCACAGGCAGCACTGTTTATCTCTGCTCCAAACAAATTCAGTTAGCGATATGGGTTGCTACTCGGTAACAATTTCTTAAGTTTCTACAGAGATTGGATTTGAGTTAATTAGCTTTGTCTTATGTGTTGTTGGGCCATTGTTTTTGCTCAATGTTCATGTGAAATAGTGCTGATATCCCACTTTTTACAATTTGTTATCACAAGATGAACCTGATGATACAAAATTCTTGCTGCAGTAACAGATTTTTTGGTGATGCGGCTGCAGCGGAAAGAGCTGTGATCTTAACACTGACAAATGATCAGAGTTTAAAATAATATGGCTAACTTGTTAAACTGTTCACAATAACACAACCAGCAGTTACAGATCAACATTATCATTCATTTCGAGTAGTTATTCTTATCAACCAATGAATGTTTGTCCAAAATGAACTCTCCTTAAAGCTCTTTTTTTGGTCTCTAGCAACAACTGATTGAACTATCTTGCAATTTAGCTGCTAATGATCCACTTTACTGACCAATAAGCTGGTATACAAGCCTCTCTGTCACTTGGTGCTGGGCAGGTAGCGTACTGTACAGTCGGCTTTTACAACTGCATTCAAAACAACTATATAAGAGCGTTGAGGTTGAACAAACGCTTTCTGCTATCTGAGCTATGTTGGATGCTAACGTAGGTTACAAACTATCTCTCATAGAATTGTACTACATGATAGCTGGTGGCAAATGCACTGGATATCGTGATAATGTTTATTTATTTTCCTACTGTCTTAGTTAGTAGACATCATTTGAAGCAGTGTAACCTCAAAGCACAAAGTCATGAAAGTCACTGCACAGCTGTTAGATGATAAACCTAAAAGTCTAGTATGCATTTTTACATTTAAGCCAATCACTATTTGATTTAATTTTAATAATCCTTCCCTAGCTGTAGAGGAAAACCAGTATTCTTTCCACCATGGCAGGAGAGGGAATACTCTCTTTGCTCCTCATGTTTGGTTTTTTATGTTATACTGATGGAGAATTGCACATTCAGTCATCTAATGGCCTCTTCTGAAAGAGCGAACGAAAGGCTAGTGTTGGTGACCTGTGGCGCTGGTTTCATCACTGCTGAGATCTGAGTAACACAGACGAGTCCAGATAAAATCATCGCTGCGTCTTCGCTGCAGCTGATTATGTGATATAACCATTTGGTGTAAACTCACCATTCAGATTGGGTTAAAACTACAAATGATAACCACATTGCTGTTGAGTGCCTTTATATTAAACCAAGGCTGAGGTAAACAAATGCCAGACAGTGAGTGAGCTTAGTCCCAAAATAAAAAAGATAAGAGCTGTTCATGGATTGATTCTTAAAGCCTGAAAAAGCTGTTTTCACACATCAATGGGGAAGTTTGTCTTTACCCACTTAAAGGTCCCATGTCATGGCCATTTCTACTGATCATAATTCCATTGTTGAGGTCTACTAGAATAGATTGACATTGTGCAATTTTCCAAACTCACATTGGTTTCTCATACAGCATCTCTGTATAGTATGTGTACAGTATACACTCTCTGTCCTAAACGGCTTGTTGGAGCTCCTGCCCCCCCTCCCTGTGAGCCCAGTGTGCTCTGATTGGTCAGCTCACCCACTCTGTTCTGATGAGTCCACCACCGTTACAGCGGAACATCAGTGATTATGTGTTACAATGGCGTTAGCAACCAGAAAATGACACCAGTAATGACAAACAGATGAGAATGCTGCGTGGGGTCTGGGTGCCGTGTTGGCGGGACGTTGCAAGGCTCGCTGCTGCGAGGAGCGGACAGTGTGAGCTGGCTTACTGGTGTGGTTTCCTGGTTGCTGCGTGGGGTCGGTGAGACAGCGAGACACAGCGAAACCCAGCCCGAAACCAGCCCGAGCACACACACACACCCGCAGCCTGGCTGTGAGTCTGTGTGTGTGCACACACACAGACTCACCGCCTCGCCGCGTCCCGCCGTCTCAGGCTGAGAAATCCGCGGACTTAACGTAACGGCTCTGCGGACGTAACGTAACGGCTCCGCGGATTGGTTCATTTGGGTATGGTTACGTCACCATACCCAGGAAGAAAAAAATGGAAAATGAAAAATCTCCAACGAGGCGTTCTGGGGCAGCATAGACAGGTATTTTCTGTGTTAGAGTTTTACTCGCTACAGGGTGTACTTTGAGGGTTTTTGACTCTGCAGACCGTTTACATGCATAAAAAGCTACATAACACACAAGGGGATGGGTAATAACCGGAAAAGCATGACACGAGACCTTTAACATGTGATTGTTTGGAGGCCAGTCGTGGTACAATATACAACGTTAAACCTCCAGCACACATACACACGCATAAACAAAAACAAACAGAGAATGGCTTAGAGGCATCTTTTGTCCTTTAGTTTAACTTTTGAACTGAATATTGCATATTCATAGATTTTTGATTTGTTTCGATAAGAGAAAGCGAGTAGATGTAATTCTAAAAGTGTTGAACACCTACATTTGAATTTTTATGGAAAATCTGGCACACAAAACTTAAAGCAGAGTAGTTTTAAAACATGTTTGGTGGGAACTTTAACATGACTTGATTACATGAGGCCGGCCATTAAGCACCGTTGTTAAAATCTGAGAAGCCCTTTGGTTCTGATGCCAGCATAAGACACATCAAGACAAAAATGTGGAGTCAGTAAAGCTTTGACATTCATTACACACCCACTCACCACTATCAGACTACATCTTTACAAAGCATCTTAAAAGCCATCTGTTTTCTTTGTCCTTCTTTTGATTCCAAACCTTTTACTCTGGGGGTTGTACATTTAACTGTGTTGCTTGTTTTTATATAGTGTCTTCTCTGCCCTTCTACTGTAAACCATTTTGATATATAAGGTTCCATATTAGTATTTCCTACTGCACACTGTGCATCTGTGGTCAGCACAACTGGGCTTATCCAATCCATCTCTCTGAAGTTTCAGTACAAACTTGCAGCTGATGAGAAAGTTGTTACATCCGAGCGCCACCAAATTCAAATCATCGCTCATCTGTCCAAACTAGGCTAAACAAGGCCGTGAGGACTGGTTATGAATTGGGCCACAGTTCTGGGAGCTGAAACTGTGTCACTACTGGGATGAGAATAAAAGGCGGCAGCAGTTTGCAGGTCTTGTTGAACTACATCATGTTGCTGTCCTCTACCTTGTGTGTCTCTCCAACATGTCATGCTCTCTGTGAGTCATGTGCAGCTCTATTTGGCGCTCACTGTTGGATCAATGGGTGTGATTCAGCGGTCTGTCTTTTGATCTCTCTCTTTCTAGGTTTGTCTGTGTGGTTTCTAGGTTTGTCTGTCTGTGTGGTGGCCACTTAGAGACCCACAGGGCTGTACATGGAGGAGCAGCTGTTTAAAGCATTCATTAGCAGGAATAAACCTCTGGGCTGAGAGCAGGCTGGAGTCTTTATGAGGACAGACCGCTAAAGTACACTGAGGACAGAGACAGGCCAGAGATCGGATACATGTCACGTATGAAGAATAATTACTGACACACATATCCATATAACTGGCTATTATACTGTGCGTACAAGGGACTTTAGTAGAGATGAAACAATTACTCAATTGGTTCACCCACACTTAACTGTTTGGCAACCTTTTAAAAAATCCATTAAGACGATAATAAAGTCATTTTCCAAGCCAAAATACAGAAAATGTCCTTATTTGAGCTTCTCAATAGTGAAGATTTGAGTTTTAAATGTTTAGCCATCCACAACATTTGAGATACAACATTAGGAACATGTGATGAAGATGATTGACTATATTCTGATGTGGCAAAATGCACAAGATAAACCACTTTAGAAAAGTTTGTAGAAAATATGATTATTCCCATCTCCTGATTCTCTTGTTGCTTTTCGAATGTGATAGTAAACCAAATGTCTGAGTTTTGGACTGTTGGTTAGTAAAAATAAACATATATAATGCATCACTGAGGGCTCTAAAAAAGCATTCATCAACATCTTGATTAAGATTTTGCTGCAAGTCAAAAAAACAAGTTTGTTTTTATTCCAGAAGCCATTAGATAACACCCAGAGCCAGTCTGTGTAATCTGTCTGTAGAATGACCAAGCATTTACACCAGTTGACATAATGTGTATTTGTATTTCTGAACACCATTCACCATTTCTTTCATATGTCACAAGGTAATGTTTTTTTCCGGCTGCATTTTATAGTAGTGAATGGATGTTTATGTGCATTTTGTTTGCAAACTTGCTTTCCTTAAAATGAATTAAATTGAAAGACATCTTTGAGTGAAGCTACGACACAGATCATCAAACAGTACATCTCTTTAGTAAGAGTGTTATATAATAGCTTTACTCTCACTTATGGTGGGGATAATTAGCATAATTCAAGCAACAGGTTAGATCAATGTCACTGCAGTGATATGACCTCTCACCCCCAGGTAGATACATGGAAAGAAAAATGCACAAATGCACGTAAAAGGCCTAAAATACTTTTACTGAAGTTTGAAGTCTGTCACTACAAGGATAAAGAGGACATACTGCCACCTTGTTTTTAAATATCTTATGAATTGTCCTTGGGTGTTATGAAAGGCTCCTCCAAATAAAATGTATTATTATTCTTTTGTTAGTGACCATTTTCTTCAATTGCTGCTATTTCACAGGATATACAGATATGGCAAGTGTTTCTATTTATAATAACAAGGAGGAAACATCAAGAAGTGTAATTGGGTTTGTCTGACAGTGATTGTCTGATTACAAGCTGCTGTTTACAAAATAGTCCCCATGGTCCAACACGACATCAGTCCACATTATAACACATGCTAGATGATTATCTCCACAATGTTTTCCACTCATTTAATCCCGAGATGACAACGATTAAACAGGCGCCACCTACCCGAGCCGAATGCCTTGGCCACCAGCCACGTCAGGCTGCAGGAGATCTTGGCCCTGGTGAAGTCGTAGTGATCGAAGCTCTTGATGGCAGGGACGATGAAGGTCCTCCTCATCCCTCTGTCATCTGTCGCATCTCCCATCTTCTCTCTCTCTGGAGCCCTGCTACACTGTAGGATCAGTCAGCCAGAGGAATTCGTCCTGACTGCGGATGACATCCCGTCCAGAGGAATTCAATGCAGCAAAATTTCCCCTTCAGCTGACAAAAATGGAAGAAAAAAAAACTTTGAGCGTGGCCTGGGTTGGAGATCACGACGAGTTTTGGGGCGCTCCTCGTTTACAGCAGCACCATCCCCAGTTTAGAAGATATTTAGACAGCACGGCGCAGTTTAGCAGCAGGATTTCTGAAGATTTCCCCCATTCCCTGACGTTTTTCTCCTCAGATTGTCCGACATAACGGAGCAGCTGTGCGTCAAAGGAGGAGAGCTACAGCCCAACACCAGCGGACAGTTTCACACAGGAACTAACCACGCTGTTTGTCTCCATGTTGTTATTTCTTCTCTTTTCTAACTGTTTTCCCCTCTCCCTCCTTCCTATCTTTTTCCGCGGCGTCTTCTCTGCGCTTTTCCTGCGGCACTGATAGGAGGATAGAGCTCACTGCGCATGCGCGATCCACCCACCCAGTCTACTCGGTCCTGACAGTCAGAAGTCACCACCATGTAACACAAACCGAGGGGACTGGAGCGGCATAGGGTTGTATGACTAATTCCCTCGATGCTAATTCCCAGATATTGTTTAAAAAAAGAAAGGAACAACCTTTTTAAGTATTTACAAAATGTTACCCTCCAGTTAAAAACGATTGGCTGATTTGCAGACACATAATTTACATTTAGGATGCTGTGTGTTCTTTATTTTATATTACATCTGAAATACTTATTTATACACTTTTAAATGTATTGTTAATACGACAAGGCACACTACACAATTTGCATATCAGTCCACTATTTTTGTTTTCTGTTGTTTGAAATGTCATAATAAACAACGAATTTGACCTATTTATTTGGTCATTGATCTTTTATTATGATATTTTAACTTTTTGATTTTCTGCAACTAAATGTGAACCAAAGCTAGGGATTTATAATTGTAATATTGCTGATTGGTATACACAGATTATGTTAAGATCCTTAAGATGTCAAGAAATGGGAACAAATGGTGATTTTGAAAACAAATATTTCTGGTAGACACATAATTTGTATAGGTAAGACTTTAGACACTTCAGTGGGAGTTTTAAGTTCATATTCCACCTCATGTATCTCTGCAAACTGTCAACGTTTCGTGAACTTAAAAAAAAAAAGTCTTGTTTTTGCTTCATTACAGTGCAAAGTTACAATATTTAGATTGAAAAATGAAACAGGCAAGATCAGTTTCTTATATTTTTTAAATATGTCAGTGCAATGCAGACTCATATGGGCAGGAGAAAAAAACGAGACATCAACCGCACTCAGTCAATCCTGTGTACGGTCAATATGCACATGCTGAAAAGTCCTGCACTTAGATATGTGTTCAAACTGAATAACAAGCGTGCAAGCCTGCTGACATAAGCAATTCTGAGCAAATAGGATGCCCCTATCGTTGGAAAAAAGTGTTTCTTTAAAAACTAAAAAATTATAATTAAACTCATGAAATGGAAAAATATTGTTAACTAGTCAATTTATTCGGAAGAATTAAAAAAAATCTAAATAAACTTTAACATGAAATGTTGTCACACAGGCTGAAAGATGAAGAGATGATATAAAAGTCGAGGTTAAAGGATAGAAATTATCATAATTATCGTTTAAAGTTCTTACAACTTGATCGGATCACCAAAAACGTTTTAGTTTTACAGTTAATATAATATAAAACTGTACCTTACACAATGATTAAAATATTCGTACACATAAAAACACACATGTTGGAAAATATTAAAATTAAGATTTTATTGAATCTCTTAGCTTTCAGATATCAGAACAGTGGTGCATTTGGTTGACCCTGCACTTCAGAGATCTTGTGAAGGGCAACAGAGAGCGCATGACAACGCTGCTCCCTGGTGTCTTCAGTAGGATCATACAGCTGCTGGGATCAGGAATTGTACATCACATTTCGGTCAGTAGATGGCAGTCCTCTGCTAAATATTCCTCTGATGCTTTGTTCATGAGGCTCTCTTTACAGCTCTCCTGAAATCATTAACATGTCACTGAATAGAATTGTCTTTCACCAACAGGTTTAAATGCAATGAAACACTCTACAGTTTTTTTTTACAGCTCTGATATTTTAGTGTTCAGACCATAGACTGTATATATAAAGGTTCAGACAAAAACATTTTTTTTTTTTCTCAGTTTCTCAAAATATATTGACCCCAGAAAATGTCACACATGTACACAGCACGGCACAGTGACATTTAGACCCTGACATTAACACATCTTAATATTAGGAGCAGTCTTCATCTCTGTTAATTGAATCATCTCTGTCTGCATGTTCATCCGAACCAACGTTCATTCGAGAGTCATTACCAATCATTATGTACTTAGCGTTATTAATGTGGATTTGTGGCTGTTCTGGTGGCCCTCTGGGGCCGAGGTGAAGTTCCTGTTCCAATAAAAGCCTCAGGTGATCTTTCTGCAGCAGCTCTGCTTTTGTACACTCACGAATTAATTGCTTTTGGTACCTATTTAAGTTCTTCAGAGTCTCCTGTCTCTGCATCTGCATTTTCACTTTCTGCTCTGTATTCCAGATATCCCTCTGTTTTTTAATTTGCGTTGGAGAAAATACCCTTCGTACTTTCCTTTCAAAGTTCCTATTCTCGTCGAGTGTATTTATTGTCTTCAAAACCATTGGGAAGCTATCTTTAGGCAGGCTGTTCTCCCTTGGCAGGAGAGGAATAACTGTGCCATCTTTGTGTTTCTTATATATGGAGTTTACAAGAGCAGAGTCTGCCTCCATCATTTGCATGCGGTCGAAGTTGCGGGTAAGCAGCAGAACAGTGTAGGCCGAGTTGTTGATAGCATCTTCCACACTCCTCAGAGTGCTCCTCCCCGGAACAGCAAATTCCCCAAAAGTTGCACCCTCAATATCCATGACCTCTTCCAGTCTTTCCTTCATGCTTTCAGCCACATCTGCATCTTCAGCTGCGTGGAAGATAACAAAAGCGTAAAAAATTGGCTCTTCCTCCACCTCCGCACCTTCACTTTCATGCACTTCCTTTGGAGCAGGCATCTTGGGTAGAGAATTGCTGGTTGCGGTGGGTAATGCAAAGGTTGGTTCAGTGGTTGGTTTGGAGGTTTGGTGAAGAGTCTCTTTCCGAGTGATGAGACTGTCCAACTCACCGCCCTCTGCGGCTCCCTCCATCTTTAAGGGTTTCTTCGCACCAAACATCGGAGGTTCACTGGATTCAGGCTGAGATGTTTGAGATTCACCAACAACGGGGGCAGGGGTGTTTATTTCGGAAGCACCTGATGTTTCTGGGGTTACTCTGTTGTCGCGATATGAGGCTGTTGGGGGTAAACTTATCTCCAGATGAGTGGGATATGAGGGCATTGAAGAGGTCGCCTGCAGTGGACTAGGCAGACTGTAAGCTCTCTCGGACTGATCTTGAGGCAGGTCTACTTTTAAAGTTGTACTTTCTTTATCCGGGGGGCCATGGGGATCCTGTTCAGACATCTGATTCTTTGAGGAGCACAACCACTCTGCAAACTGAGGCCCACAGACAACTTTAGCTTCCTCTCTAAACTGGTCGTACTCCAGGTACTCACAGTTGCTTGATTTCTGATTGTCACTTGAAAGGGCTCTCTTATAGGCTAAATTTCTCAGAGTTGTATCACAAAGCCTCTGTTCTGATAAAACCTTGAAAATACGAGCCAGCAGTGCCAAAGATTCTCCTGTAAACTCTTGCAAATGACCACAACGAGTGGCAAAATCTTCTAATTTGCCTTCACTCATCTGCCACTTTTCAGCCAGAAGTTGAGCAAGGAAGTTGTTTTTCAGCATCTGGAGTTTGTTCAGGGCCCGCCCCTCTTTCTGGAGAACGATCAGACATAGGGCGTGTATGATATTATCTTCAGGAGACTCACCCAGCTGGAATGTCAGACTTAGCAGTCGATTCGGCGATGCTTTGATCACTATGTCGAAGACGTCTCTCAGTCCTGTCCCCTGACTTTCTTGTCCCACGTGACTCATTTTCAGGTATGACGTGCTGCAATATCTTCATTCTATGACAGAAGCTGACAGGATCTCATGTTATTTTTCAATATATTCGTATTATTTTCTTCAAAAACTTGAGTTTCTGAGGAGATTTCATTGACGTTCTTGTTTCTGTAAAGAGATAAAATCAACAAACTTCAGAATGTATGCAATTATGATCACAACATGTTGGGATGTTGTTCTGACTAAATGTCAACAGAAAAGTAATTTATTTGTTTTTTATAAGCACCGCAAGTGAAATTTAACAGAACCACAAAGATCAAAATGACTCTTATCAATCATACACTTGATGCATTACTCACCGGTCTGGAGTCAATGGAGTTTGAATAGAGTTTGTGTTTCCAGTTCAAACAAGGAAGTAACTCGAATCTCTTTTCCTGTTCAGTTCAACCAGTAGAAAACTATTTTCTCAAAACAGGAAGCCCTTAGTGCACATTTGAGATAGAAGCAGGACACTGTTGGTGAGTCTTAACACACTTTCAGTAAAAAGGTGGTCAGAGACCGTACCTGTGTCAGTTGCAGGCCTCAGCAAAGTGCAAACATGAAATACGTTTACATAATGATGACGTCACAGCTTGTAAGTAAGGGAGCTCATGAAGGACAAAAGACAAAAACAAGACAAAGTTGAACCAACCTTTACAAACATGCTATCACAGACAATCACCAGCATTTCTGCTCACCTCTACAAAATGTACTTGACACTCAGTCAACTTTTTTAATTCCCTGATTTGTCACAACTCTGCAAATCTACAACAAAAAAGGCACTTGTGTGTAGAAGTCTTTTAGTTACTTGTGCACAATTGCCGCAGGAGAGAAAAGTATTCTGACTTTCCTTTCCCCTCTGCTGAGAGGCAAGTGTATTTTTGTCCACGGAGGAAACCTCCAACCCTGTATTTACCAGGGGTGGGGTCACACCAGGCAGAGTGCAAGCAGCATCAAATCTCTCACTACAGTGCAGACAGAGAGCCTCTCTGTTAGGGCTGAGTACAGCGTGATATGTTTACTGTACGACCACTTCTGAGGGATAACTGTAACTCCATAGGAAGTGTGGTTTCTATGTTTATTGTGGCACTAGTATATATGTATGTATGCATCTTTCCAGAATAAAGCAGCATCCAGTTAAGCTATATTGCACATGCCACCAAGACCACAGATGTGTTGTTTCTTTCAAGCATAACCCTATAGCTAACACTGTTACACAGTCCCTTATAGCTATACTGTTACTAACAGTATAGCTATAAGGGACTGTGTTAAAATGATATGGGGTCAGAAAAGGTTCTTGCTATGAGGACAGTAGTTTGGCTTTTTTTCTGGGAGAGCAGGGGGTTTCATTTTTTATATCAAGGGTTAGAGTTACTGTGATTTGGGACTGCATTTGGGACCAGGA